GAATAGTTCGTCCGACCGATAATTTTCCGCGTTTCGAGGAAATTTTCTCTCGCAAAGTTACAGCGATGATTTTAAGCGCGCGTTCCGATCTTCAACTTCATTAGTCGTTACAACTTGTCACCGGTGTAAAATTTTACGATGTTGTTCTTGACCAGCACTCAGACTCAGCACATAAATTTCAGTTATGCGCTAAACCATCGCCGAGGTGTGGTTGATTCTGTGAAATCGTTCAACTTCTGCGTCGACAGTTTTTCCAGTGTTTTTAAGGCGGTCAGAAAGGTGTTCCAACATAAAATATCAGCGTTTGATAAAACAAGCGTCATTCTTCGTAATTTGCTGGTTAAAATGACGTGTAATTTATTAGAATCAGATGAACAGAACATTTTTGATAATATTCGTTACCCAGAAATTTTTAAGTTGTAATTTTCCCGAAAGTTATTTCTCAGATATTTCTGTGCAATTTTTTACTGTACCTTACTTCATTCACCGATAGTAACATTTTCTTATTCAAAAATGAAATAAAAACTAAGTATTTTCCTTGAAAAATTATATTTTAGGTTCCAAGCAATATTTTTAAATTCTACCCTAAAAATATGTATAAAAAGGACCAAAGAACACGCAGAAGAAATTTGTAAACAGTATCTCTCACAGTTTCTGAGAAGAACGTACATGAAGATGGAAAATTTAACATTGACAAGATAAGCCTTTGCAATCTCGAACGATACAGAAAATCATCTGATCTAGATTTGCCAAATTTTCAGCGGTCCCAGTTCAGTGCACTCCGGTTAGAAGAGTTACATCAAGTGTGAAAGGCAGTCGGCACGTTTCCTTGCAAGTAACGACGATCGGTAAAAAGTAGCAGAAACGTGAGCGATTTGTGCTTTGAGCAACGATCGAACGATTACAAAATGAATAATCGCACCGTGCACGTGATAACAGTTGCTACTACGAAACTCCTTCTAAACTATGCTAATTTCATGGTGTTTTTCCTCGCTGGTGAAACAACAGTTTCGTATCGTTTAGCGTGTGGAATGGTACGATTCATCGGAACCGACAATAATCGAGCGATGCTTGAAAATAAACGGCAGAACCCACTTAAGGATAGTCATGAATATTAATTTCTAGTTCGAAGACGGAATTTAAAAACGTCTACAGGCAACCTTACTCGGATCATGTCGATGAGAATGGAAATGTGAGTGAACGTAATCTGCTCCAATCTATCATCAGTCACACCATAAGATCTTCGATCTTCGTCATTTATACGCGTGATTTTCATAATTCTCCAATGCGGAATCGGATGGTAATTCTACGTTTCCGTCCGTTTTTGTCCTCGCGACTCATAACCGGCTCAACAGGCGAAACTTGAGCTCTCTGATTAATGTGTAACACAATTTCATTTCTGCGACGAACGTTCGATCCGTGTTGTTTGCCTGAATCAATTATTCAAAACAACCCACTCTGTCTTGGAATAGTAGCAATCGACTCTCTTGTAAGCAATTGTTTTTACACACCGTTGGATTCGTACTATTGTACAAAAAATAACAGCGAGAATTTCATTTAGTTTTGAATTTAAGATTGTTAAATGCACGATTTATTTCTTTGGTACGAAATTTGCTCGGGGGACGTTTCTTCGTGATTTACATACGGTTAAATTATCGTGAAACATGTAGTTTCTTTTGAACGAGGAGAAAACGGAAGTTCGTTGAATAAATAAGTTCCAATAAATCGTTGACCCCGTGTTGGCGCTCGTTCAACGCTCGGAAACGAGATATCAGTATAGGCGTTCGTTTATTATTCGAATTCTTCTGAATACGCTGTTGGATGATTTTTTGGAAAAAAGATTCTGATAAATGTCTTTGGTGTTTCGATTCTTTCATATTTCCAATTAGTGATTTCGCGAAGTTCATTATCGCTAATTAAATAAATTACCCTCGGAGCGTTTAATCATTTTACACGCCCTTGCGTAAGATCACAGAGAACTCTCATTAATTCCTGTTTGAATATCGTTACTAGAGTGTAATTGGATTATCAGAGATGAGAACGAGTCATTTGTTTGGTGATGTATTGAACCGTAGCAACGAGGTCGTTAGATTAAAGGAAGACACTCTGACGGTATGCAGGAGTTGCAAATTCATGCTCTGCCAGCGGTCAGTTTGTTTTATGCAAAATGTATATCACGGAGACGCTACTTGAATAAACACATCAGTAATTAAGCGTCGTGCAATTGAGTGAACTTGCAACCTTGAAATTTAAAGATGTCGAGACTAACATCACGATTAATTATAGTCATTTGAAAGAGGCTAGGTCACGGATATTGCGTCTTTTAATAAACGCTTTGGTTAAGTCATACGCGAATCGTGATAGTGGAATAATAACACTCGATAAGTTTACGGTAACCTTTGAAATTAAGGAGACAGAATCAGCAGTTATAACATTATTATCACTTATAGAGTGGTTATCAGATCGTGTACCATCGTTGGTTACGTATAGACGTATAGGAAACGCGAATGAATTAAAAATTTTGATTTTGGAAAATGTAAAATTAGAACACTTGGATATTTAAGAATTTTTTAATTTGAAACATTGAAAATTTTAACGTTGAAACATTTTCAAACTTACAAATTTCAATATCTAAAAATTTTCAAACTTAAAAATTAGGAAATTAGAAAATTTCAAAGATTCGAACTTCGTAAATTTGCAATATTTGAATGTTCGAAACTTTAGAAATCGGATACTTGACAAACTTTTGCACGTAAAAATATAAAAACTCAAGATGAAATTTATAATTTGAGAAACATTGAACGGACCTGGCACAGTCTGAGACCCACTTTAATTTTGTCGCGTAGCATGTATCTTTTAATAAAATCACCGAGGTCATTCACTCAGGGGATTGTCCTCGCTATGATTTAACGCACATACATATTTATCAAGACTGCAATCTGTCTTACAGGAGTAACGTAAAAGGTTTTCATCTTTTAACATATCTTATTATACCATATATTTCTCTCGAAATATAGCGCTTCGACTTACCAATAAAGCAATATTCGGTAGTATCAATTCATCTTCTTCCGCTCCGTTGCTCCTTTGCGGCACGTATGTCAATGGATGATGTGGAAGTGCCGAGACAGTACCATTGTCGTTGAATTCAATAGAGCCGTGTTCCAACGATTCCCTGAAATTTACATATTTACCCTGCTATTTTCGTCTGGTCCTTTGGAAACTTAACTATTACCAAAAACAACCGTATAAATAACAATACCGTTGGAACTGAAAGTGTATTCGATTAAACATTGCCATTTTCATACGTGTTCGAAAAATATGAAACAATTCAAATTACATCTAATCAAGCGGTTACATCACAGACTCGCTATTCGTAGAAGGAATAAACCTCAACCAGGCAATATCGACTAGAATGTCAAGGATTAAACGAATTAACATGCAGCAGTATCTAAATAATTCCGCTATAAGTTATGCATTCTCCGATTATAGTGTCGCCAGACGTTATTTCTTATTCACCTGTAAACGTACGGGCCCACTTCTTGAAACCTCAACTTGCTCTCCTTGCCGGAAAGGTATTCTTCGTGATTGGTCACGTTGAAGAGGTAGACCTTCAGATAAAGCTCGACGTCCGGTTTCCGCCACAACTCGAAGATCTCGCCGCCGGGGCTGAATACCACCTTTAGTTTGAAAAGTAGATCGTACGGTTGGAACACGAAAAGGATGGAGCCAGTGATGAGGCTGAGCGAGCCCAAAGTCATCAGCATAACAATACCTGCACGGTTTTTTAAGAGACAGAAGAATGAGAAAGGGATTTTTGTGGCGTTCTTTCTTAGCGATGAAATTAGGGTGATCAGTTTAATGTTCGACAGAATATGAAACGCAGAAGGAACCATTGAGGGATTCTATTGCGTAAAATTACGCTGTACTATTCTCATCGCACAGTGATGTACGTTTATTTTTAACGCGGGAAATTTTCACCGACTACAATATTAGAAGGAAAGAATGACGAAGAAAATTCGAGTTAAGATGAATTTTTGTCGAGTGACTCATGCGACGCGTTATGACGTGTAACCACGAAGAAGAGGTTTCTTGGTTAACCGACGCACAGTGGAGTATTGTTTCTAAAAAGCTGGGGAAGAATCAAATTTTTTAAATTAATCGAGAACCAAAGAAGTGTTTGTTTCTTATTATGTTAGTCGAATCATAGTGGCCATTTTTGTGACGCCAGACTTTGGACAAAAGAAGGATTTTTGTCTATTTGTTTTTTCCGGTTATTATTAAAATATAATTGCCATTGTTTTTAATATTCTGCGAGCAAAATCATTCTCGAAATTTAGTAACGACAAAGTTTTACCACAAATTGGTGGTAAATTCTTATTTTCCCTACTTACATACATGCGTGACGTTCACATTGAGTTTCCGTACAAAAATCTCGCAGTAAGATAAGTCAAGTATATAAAACGGTTTATTTCTGAATTTTGAAAATCATTTCTAACTGCGCTTCTCTCTAAAACTAGCAAAACAATTTCGGCCAATTTCTTCATACACGTATTCCACTGTGCGTCGCGTTACGCAGCATTGCGAACTTTTTCACACTTTATTTATACCGAGTACCATTGAAAGTGGAAATAACCGTCGATCAAGTGTAACACTTTTTTCCTACCCTACTGATAACCATTTACAGACAACGTGAACTTTTTGCCCAGATCACGTTGCGTAACCCTCCAATGATCTGTTTACTCCGTTTTTCTTTTTTTTTACGAGAAATTACAAGGCTCGCGATCCTTGAAAAGATTCCTCGAATCACTGTGCCTATGCGAATTTTCCAGAGACGTCAATCTCCCGCGTTTTATTTGGCCCGTGGACCGAGATTTTCGGTCGAACGTTACATTTGCATGAAACATACCTGGGAATTCCGATTGTATATAAATCGGCTTCTAACCTAAACATTCCTCGCTTACGCACTCGTTTACGTATTTTCGAATCTGAGAATTTGAAGAAACCGCGCATCCGGTCTCGAGGAAAAAATTACACCGGTTTTGTGCTAATTTTAACGAGACACTCGTCGTGCACATGCATGATCTTCTTGCGAAATTGTCGATCGATTCGATCGAGAATGTATCGACATTTGATCGACGTTGATTCAATGCTTGAACCAAGTGTTTCCTTGTACGGTGTCATGCTGATGTCGTTTAGATGGTAATATCTCACACCTGATGTACTCGGGCACATCTCTTTCCTCGGTAATCTCGTCCAACTTTTCAACGTTTCTGACGAGTCCTCGAAATCGTCCAATTATCACAGAGAAAAGCAGATAATTTCAACATTCGACAAGTGTAATTTTCGTTTCACTCTCTGTCATCTCGTGGAAAAAATTCCGGCAAGCTTCGCGAACTTCGAGATGTCGAATTTTAAGATACACGTTCGACTCGTGATTTGCAGTTTGAAAGGAAAAAAGGCAGAGATTGAAACAGCTCATCGATGTACTCGGTAATTAACGCTGTTTCTAGTAAATTTACTCATTCGCCAGGCATTTACGTGTTGTCGCGATGTTGATGGAATCCTTGGCGGAATAAATTTATCGCGACGTCACGCGCTACCGCTGTTTGCTGTTGCGTATCATAAAGGTTTGCACGCCAGTTATTTATCGACGCGTAGGAGAAGAATTACGAAAAGCCTTGGATCGACTTTGAGATTAGGTATGAAGGACACTTCCGTCCTGGATTCTGCATAATTTCCCTTTCTTTATCCTACCTACGTTGCTTCCAGTTTTTCTCCTTTTGTCTCGGAAAACCACCGTTACAGATGCGTCTGCCTACTGGCGGAACGTGAATTACAGTGGAGAACGACAAACATGATCAGACAGTGATCGAACGGTGCAACTTGTGCGGTGTATCTCTTACAGTTGTGAAACAATTTTCAATCTTTTCGACGTGTGTGCGTAAAATCGTATTCGATCGTTTGAATCAGCGATTTTTAACTCTTTTTATCTCCCAGGCTCGTAAACTAATTACTAAAATTCTACGGTACCTACAGTGAAAAGTACTGTTAGATGCAATTGAAGTTCTATTTAAAAAGTATGAAAACAGATCAATCATCGGAATAATTTCCATTATTATCTATATTTGCTATTTTTCTGGCAGCTTGCGAATTCCATCGCGACAGAAACTCGGTGGATTCGAATCAGTTACACGAATCCAGTTTGAAAGAATTCATTTCTACATCTAGTATTACATTTTTTCGCTGATCTGACAAAGTATACATTTTCGACAGATTTACAAAAAAAAAAAAATGATATCTTTCTTAGAATACTTTTTCAAATTTTCGTAATTTGTATTACAAATTTTGGATACACCTGTGGATCTATGGCACACCGGTTGTTATGATGTGCTCGTGGTAGTTGCAACCAACTTTCGAGCCTTGTCGAATTTAACACGTGGTGTGCCGACTAAATCTAATAGGTCCGTCTTCGAAGGACCACCTCCGTGATTAGGAGGACAAAACAACTATTACTAATGGTCTAAACTTCTAAAAGGAGCGACTCTTGGCGTGGTCAGATGACTTCTGTCGTTCCCTTCCGCGAAAGGTCCCACGACACCTCCGTGCGCGGACGCATCGCAGGGGTGAGGCCCTCGGATAGGTTGAATACATTTTTCGATAGTGGTGGGGAAGGGTGGTTGGCAAAAATCATAGGTGGGAAAACTACACGAAAATGCCACCCTCCAGACCATAGGTCACTCTCAGGTACCAAGCGTACCCTTGAGCGACGCACGCGGGAATTCCGAGTGCCTTGAACAATGACCGTAGCAGACAATAACGTTAAGACGCGCTTCGGCTCTGGTGACCATGTGAATGCAAAAATGTACAAGTTAAAAAAGGGGCGAAGATTCTAAGTCGAAAACAAGGCAATAAAAGGTAAAAGCAAGTTCTTAGATTGAAAGAGCGAAGGCGAAAAATATGTACGATAGAACTACATGCTAAGAAATCGAAGGGTCGGGCAGCCGACATACCTGTCGAGGATTAAACACCGGTTGAAAATCAATGATTTAACTTCTTGACCGTGTTCAAATGTGTCACAAAGTTGTTTGAAGCCAAGTGCAAGGTGAATTGAATTGAATCATCGAGCTGAGTAATTCTGACCCTCGTAGTTGTACGCGTGCCGTACACCCACAGCGATTCATCAAGAAACGATGAACGTGTGACCAATTGCTTTGGTAACCGTTAAGTAATCTCGTCGCAGATCTCCTGGAATACAAATCTGTCGCGGAAATACAACAGCGAAGCTTCGATTCCCGCGCGTTCCCTCGAAGGACGAATTTGCCGATCAATGTCGGCTTGACCATTATCGAAATACGATCTTGATACAGGAGTTTCCACTTGTTGCTTCGAATAGAGAATAGTACATATTTATTTACATACACGAGGTTTACTACTAATCGATTTATCCGTAGATACCGAGTAGCCAATCACCTGTGTTATTATATCATCGTACGTAGAACAGTGTCGTATTAGATAATACATCTCGTAATTATTAAATAACACAGAATCGAGGTAAAAACACTGAAATCTCGGTGATGATATGCGAGTTTGCTAAACTTGGGAAAAAATTTTCTGCAAGAAGTGCTCGATATGTCAGAATTATGCGGTAATCACGAGCGAGAAATAAAAACTGCCGGTTACGAGCATTTTTATGATAATTCTCGAAGGTGCTGAAAGGCGAAGCGATTGTTTTTTTAGAATTATTCGATGATTTCGTCTCATATTTATTGACGAAAGAAAGTCGATTCTGACATTGCGAAGCAACGAAGTTCGATGTATGAATGTTGAGGAAGGAAAAAATTTTTAGTAAAAAGGAAAATTCAACGAGGAATGTTCGATATGTCAGAATTATGCGGTAATTATGAGACAGAAATAAAAGCTGTCGATTACCAGCATTTTTATGATAATTCTCGAAAGTGATAAAAGGAGAAGCGACTGTTTTTTTTTAGAATCATCTTGGACCATTGATAATTAAGTCACTCATAAGTAGCACTCTTTGACGAGTGGTATGTTAGTTTTGACATTTCGAAGCAACGTAAGTTCGATGTATGAATGCTAAAGTTCCAGACAGGGTTCGAAGATTAGCAAATAGTCTACCATAGATTTCGTCGAGTCGTTTTGCTCTCGACTATTGCAAGATCGCTGGCAGTGCATCACGATGTGGTAATAATTTTCCGGCGGTAATCGGGACGCGACTGCAAATGCGCCATTCAATAGAAAGTGCATATTTGCCCCCGTGTCGTTATATTTTATATCCAGAGAATCGCGACTCTTTTGTGGATGCCCCGTTGACGAAACACTTGGGATCTACATATACGCGGAAGAGGAAAGTTTTAAACATTTGAGGAACTACGTTGACATTTATTCGACTTTCGCAATTATTCCGTGGATTATCAATTTCAGGTTTCCTTGTTATTAATAAATCTCGCGTATTATTCTCTCGATGTTGGTATAAATATTCCTCGAAACATTTGAGAAGGCAATAATTGCGCAAACGTAGCGTATAGCATTGTATTTGCTCGAATCATCCTTGGAAAATTGACTGAGAAACTAGATACGAGATAATTGAAAATTTAGAATTTGCGAGACAAAGCATAGTGTGTATTTTAATTATTTCTTTTAATTTCTGGGAGAAGTATTGGTACAATTAATAAAGATACCACTGTTCTCCAAAAATTTAGAATTTGTGAGACAATATATAGTATATATTTCAATTATTCTTTCTTAATTCCT